ACACTAGAACAATAATACTATAAGGCTCATTCTTACCTCTTATACATAATCAATTAAGCCAGAAGAAAATTAAAAACCTAGACAGATATAGAGTGGTTGGGCAAATTATCTTTCATACTGATCCTGCTACTTTTGCGTGTGTTAGCGTCTATACGCAATACCGGTTCTAAATCAGAGGTACCAAAAGCCTAATGTCAGGCTCTGATCATCAAGACCTAAGGACCCAAGAGAAAGCTCTGACCAAGATTGTGCAATTCCGTAAGCAAGTCTGGTTGAGATAATGAGATATGAGCTTGTAAGCTTGTAAGTCAAGTTACGAAACCACTTATCCTAACCTCTCAGTCTAGGTCCATTAACGTCTAAATCCCAAAGGAAAGGCATTACTGGTGCTGCATAATCTGGCACGTCTGGTTTGATGGGTGAGTTTAATCTAACATGTTGGATGATTGTGAGTGAAATTAAAACCATCACCGAGCAGAGAAGTTAAGTTGCCTTCTTTATGATGGCGACTCAACACCATTTCTCTCCCTCAAGCTATCAATCAAGCATAAGTAGTTCCTACTCAAATTTCTACCACCGTTCCTCCCATTCAGAGTATTTCTAAGCTATTAATTTCAATAGTCTCTCGTATCCTTATTTTAACCTCAGATGTACCATAATCAGCAAACCTACAAGTTTAATACCATTATATTTCATTTCCAGTTTCTACCATGTGTTCGGTCACTTCTGACCGTTAGAAATAGCTTCCTTTGCACACAATTTTGTGTTTATGCACTTTCATATGAAATAAAAGTCCCCCTAATACTGGCATCTATGTAAATTTATCGGAACCCAGTTTCTCTTCATACATACAGCGTGAATACATATGGAATGACTGATTTATTTGTAGTTAAGATACCCTACTTATAAACGAAATATAAGTAATGTAGTTAATTATTATAATAAATATAACTTTGCTTCATCGACACTTCCATGAAGGAATGTGATGTAGGAAAATACTTGCCCTCTTTGAAATGCATATCTTCCCCATCACCTAAGGGTACTCGTGACGATGTGGAGTAGTGCTTAACGTGTCGAAACTAAACGCTGCACTGTCATGTTTCTAGTCCCGCTGGAGGTGTTGATAAGACCTAGGCGAGGTCGAAAGTGAACTCCAGCCTGGATGAGAACACATTTTTGTAAAGCAACGCTATGTGGAATTAAATGAAAACGTAAATAAAAATAAAAATCCTTCATCACCTTAAAGAAAATAGGGTGAATACATCTGATATAACTGGATGAGAGCACCTTTTTGCAAAGCAAGAATTTATAATTCATTGGAAGCATCAGCTCTATACATAATTGCGGGAAAATACAACTATCAGTCCTCCATCACCTTAATCGAAATAGCCAATTTACTGGTACTTTTAAATGAAATATATTAAGTAAACACCGACAATGAATTTGTTTGGAAAAAAAACAAGCATAATGCCGATATTTCCTAAGTAATAAGAAATATTATTTCAGATGAACAAAATCTGATACCATAGCAAATCCATCTGCAGCCGTTGCACCTGTCATCCACAGACATTTAACTTTTAAGCAAACATTTAGGTAAAGCATAGGATATCCAACCAAAACATGGGATGCCCAAGTAAGTAACCGAACTGGACTATAAGAAGTAGATAAGTTTAAAGCCGGTCACCTTTCTTGCTTTCGTGTTTTTGGTGAATTATTGTTAAGCATAATGTCCTGCTCTGACGATGTCCGTCACATGATGGACGAAAGCTCAGCAAAGATTAATTGGGGTCGCAGGGCAGCGCACCGAGGATCTATTCGCAAAAATCTACAATCAGCAACAAGGTAATCCTCCTACAACTTCCGATGAGACCAACTTACTAATACCTTACACTCAACTCTTCAAACGAAATGAAAGGTACTCCAATATTCAAGGTGTCTTGTAAAAGTCATAATTCTTCCTTTACTTGGAGGAAATCAAACTGTACTTTATCCGACCATAAATATCCGTAGCTGGGAGTTCATAAATCGCGTACTTTAGTCTCTATATAAAAGTAACTGCGAGCATAAGTAAGGTAGGCTTCTCAACGCCGTATAATCAACTTCTTGATAAGTGGTAATGTGTCGAGACTATACGCTGCATTAGCCGGGTTCAAACCCAATTTGGAGTACCGATTATGTCTAAGCGATGTCAAAAATACTGTCCACCATGGATAAGAATACCTTATGGGAGGCAAGGCTGATAATTTCAACATGAACGCCAAGCTAGGACGAAGCAAGATCAACACGTAATTTCCAGGCATAGTGTTAGTACTTTTCTTCGAAGTAAATTCCACTCCAAGTCTATTAGAGGATAAATAGTTTAACAACTCAAATCACTTAAAGAATAGGTTTAAAAATTTCTGACGTTTTAGTAAGCTTAATATCTATATCACTGAGCCTTATGGCGAGCAAGAAGTATTAATGGGAATAGTTCACCCTGATATTAGGCGAAATATCTAAGGATATCTAAGGATAAAGTGTAAAGCAAACCTAGAAGAAAATTTATCTTAAACTATTGTATGGCACGATCAGGTTTTATCGTGGATAGAGGATACCAGCATAATCAACATAACCTGTTTAATGAATGCCCAATTGCCGGAGGAAATAGATCATTATCTGAGACTTAATTCTTTAAAAATAAATTGCCCGGTGGTTTATAATAACTCCTTTTGGTCATGAAATCGTTCACAGTTTCCGACTTGACTGATGTAAAGATAACTGGCAGCGAAAATGTGGTCTGCAATAGGTCCTGAGAGCATAAGGTATGCAGATTCCGACGATGGCAAAACAGCTAAAGAAGGCTCATGAAGGGGGTTGAAAGGAAGCTGAAGGTAGAATTAGGCGAATAAGGATCACTGATGAAGACAGGTTGGTCTTTAAAAATAAATGTATAGAGATCAAGAAAATTGAAACTAAAATATCCATGAAATATACAGATGACGGGGCAAAATTCAGCACATGCAAAAGAACACTAGCAGAATCTAATAAAAAGAGGTAAGTAGTTAAAATCAGTATTTTTCAATTAACAGAAATAATCATTAAGTACGTTTACCAAGGAAATGATAGAATTTCCAGCCAGTGAGACGCATTGCTTATGCTTAACCATAAGTTGAAAAGGTTTTGAAACTACAGGCTGATAGAAGTATCACGAAGTTTGGGGGTATAAGTGGTAATGCCAAGATAGAATTAGGGAATAGAATAGCTAAATAAGTCCATTCATGTGCACATTCATAGATATATTAATAGCTTAATAAAAGTTTACGAGCACATGTGCGTGCGTTCCGATAGGTGGATGTACACCAAGTTTGATGTGAAGATGAAACATATTGCATAAGTGTATAAACCATTTTAGAAAGACCTATGATCACTTTAGGAGCGAGATTAGTATACACAGCAAAGACTACATGATATATAATTAAGGACCAAAAAAGCTAGAGTGCTCTCCAGTTGAACAAACAGATACTTTCCGCACATGCGTATGTGCATATGCCCAACGTCACTGAAGACAATTTGGCAACAAATATCCAAATTCACAAGTTGAAATTAGAGTTCCGGATGTGAAGTAAAGCATACATACAGACACACACACTTATGCATGTGAAAAGGCATCAATGCAGTGTAACAGAAAAAACGTTATTTTTAAGCGATAAATTGATGGTGAAAAAAAGTGAGTATTTTAACATCCAATTTGTAGTGATTTTATAGTTTTAATGTACGACGTATCATTTGCAGGAATTCTCTATATGAAGGCGCTGCTTCCGTTTTATCTTCAACTAAGGCAGACAAGAAACGAGTGCGAAGTCCCATTGGAGCATCGTGTCGCATACATACGAGGCAGTTGGAAATAGGCCGGCGGCGTTGTAACAAATCAACTAGGCTGTGTAGCCGACGTCTTGATATTTGATCTAAGTGACTAGTAGGTCTGCTATCAATCACCTGGCTATCGCCTAGTTTAATTAAAGGGCTGGCGTCGCTGATATTGGTTCCACCTCCATCATAAGTAGATGCAGCCAGCAAGGCCGGGCGGCAGGGCAAACCAATTGGCCCACCTTTAGGCGGCAGATCTGAAGGGGAGCGGATTCCAAGAAGAGCTTGAAGCACGGTGGAGGATTGTGGCTGAGCAGCTGTCGATGGTACATCGGGTCCACATCCGACAAGAAGAAGGAGTAGCTCACCGTTATCAAGAAGAAAGATCTCATTCCGATCAACCGACTGTAAATTAAATAATTTTGCACTTAATCGAATAATAAGGCAGACATGTGCTCTTCTCATTATAAGAAAATAAAGTTGAGTGAAAGGTTAAAACATAGAGATGGAAATATGAAATAGAGTAAAATAAAATTTTTAAAAATAACATAGAAAAGTATTATTTCTTGTTCAAAATTACCATCCAGCGTTGTATATTTGAATTGGTTCATAGAAAACAATGTATATATGAAGAAATGTCAAAAAGGCCCAGCTACTTTAAAAGAAAGTAGATCATATAAGCTATGGTTGAAATATTTCTACACATCTATAGCATAAAATGAAGTGATGGAGATGGGTGTCAATTTGAAGGCAGAAGCATAGGAAATTTTTTAAAATTTCGTATCTATCTTGTCAATTTACTATATCGAAAGAAAACGATATCAATTATCAATAAATATTATTGAGGAATAAGAGTGCATATGGTGAAATGGATGAGTTTTCAAGTACATTTTGCCTTTTAAATAAATTGGATTGAAATTAAACT